GGGGGTGAGCGGGTTAAAAGGGGGGGGCAGGGGGGGGGGGGCAGATGATCCATGGCCAAGGGGTACCCACCAATAACCTGACACCTTAACCCTTTCCCCCATCAGCCCTCTGCCTCGGGCCCTGCCGGCACAAAGGGGTTAACACCCCCGTCCCCACCACCATCGCTGATCGCCAACGATGGAACAAATAGCTTGTCAGTGGCAGATTGCAGTAATGATGGCCAATGTCACCCCAACTACATTCCAGCCAATTACCAGTTCAGACTGGGTCCTGTGCCAGGGTGGGGGCATGCCAGAGCCTTCAAAATGAGGTCCCATTCAGGTTACTGCACCCCCAAAGTTCATTCTGCATTTCCAAAAAAAACAAAATAGAAAAATAGAGGGAAATCTGGCCAGGGCACACAAGGGGTTAATGTGCCAGGTAGTCACAAGGCACGGGAAAGAATCAGAATCTTCACTATGGGTTCTCCTGTCACCTCATGCTGAGGGTATCATGTCATCCTAAAATTGTCTACATTCATCACTCGAATGAACAAAACCAAATCAGATCGATGCAGATCAGCAATCAATGAAAACGTGGGTATCAGTTATACGTGTGTCTGTCTGTCTGTCTATATAACATCGATATAAATAGGATCGATCTATCTATTATCGGTAAATATCTATCTCTATCTATCTATTATCTCTATCTATTATCGATATCTATCATCGATATTTATCTATCTATTTGTAGTTTTAGGGTGCACTATACCTACCAGTTTCCCTCGATTTTTGGGGGCAGAATTAACTTTGGGGTGCAGGATGATGAATGGTATTTTAGCATTTTGTGACCCTCGTGTGTGTAATTAACAATGCAGAAGACACAAAAAAAATATCTGCATATATGTAAACTACATTGTAACACACATAATACACAATTGAATATTTAGATATTTGTGAGCTGGACATCCATCTGCTATTATTGTATAATGTGGGGATGATGACGTCTCATGTCATATATCTCATCCTTCAGCTTCTCTTCTGAAGTAACTGGCAGCCTGCAGACACATGGCAGATCTATAAATCGGATGCTTTAGTCTCCTCTCTCTTTCCCTCAATTGGCATTTTTTTTTAGTCTTTTGGTTCTTTACCTCAGTCCCAAATCTCAGACCAGCTCAGCCCTCACCTTGCCTTAATGTTTCGGGAGATCGCAGATACAAATATTATGAATCGGATATGTGACTTTGATATCATGCTGATGATGTGATCATCTCCGCTCGGTGCGGGTAGTAATAAGGAGGGAAATGACTGAACTATAATAACAGAAAGCCAAATCTCTCACTATGAGTAGAACAATGTGCATCTCACCACCGAAAACCAAACCCAGGAAAGTATTCATATTGGCGAGTGTTATAAATACCTCGAAAATGCAGTTTGGCGCAAAGTCAGCGCAGAGACTTCTCCAGCCTGCTTTGTATACAGACCCATCGTGTATATCGAAGCAGCTTCAAGAATGACTGCTGGAAATGTGTGGCTTTCATTCTAGAAATACAAAGCAGATTCCTTCAGAGCAGCTTACATAGGCCTCGGTGCAGGCTGACCAGGGGAAGTGAATGACAGCAGGTTAGCAGATTCACACAAGGCCCACGTGTGGCAGGCCTCATTCAGTATGATAGACACATCCTTCCAATGTGTTCACACAGCTTCAGCAAAAATGGCTGTCTGTGTTGTGGAACATTCCTGCAATATCTCAGCCCATTATATATCTTTATATATGTGCAAATATAATATATTTTATTAAAATGTGCAAAAGATGTACATGATATTCAAAAACAAATATATGCAGTGTATGATACACAAATACAACCAGAATTCCAAAAACGTCTCACTGCAGCACACTTTGACTTTTATTCACATAAATAGAATATGTAACATGAATAAAAGTCACAAGGTGCTGCAAAGAGACGTTTTTAATCTCTTGTATACACATAGAAATATATGTGTGTGTGTGTGTGTGTGTGTGTGTGTGTGTGTGTGTGTGTGTGTGTGTGTGTGTGTGAAAAGAAAGATACATTGTGTACACGTGTATTCCCTCTAATATACATCTATCTCTATGATAGCAGGAACATCTCTAATGATATAATATGGAAGGATATCTGTGTGCTGCATTGTAACCCAGTCCAGGCTCCAGTACTAGGGAGGCTTATACAACAAATGCCTCTTTAGCTATTGTAGAATAACAGGCCCCAGGGTACTACGTTGGTGGTACTTGTAGTTCACCACAGCTACAGATCACGTTTTTGACAAGCCAACTGCCTATCTAAGATCAGCTCCGAGAATGTCTTGCTTTTCATCCACCAACACTTCAAAGATGAATGTAGCAATAAGCAACAATGTACTGATTTAGAAAGCAGTAGAAAACGTAATGCTCTAGAAAACAGAAGAAAAGAAACACTTCGGCATTACACTGCTACAAAAATGTAAAAAAAAATGTCTATCGGGCAAGAGAACTACTGACAAAAATAGAAAGATCATTTCTTGTTATATTCTTTATGTGAGTATGTGATAAAAAAATGTCTGTATGTACATATCCAGAGGGATTATTAGTAAAAGGCTCATTGTCCTATTTATTTAATCCCCCCTCAACCTGATTGAGGCTCTCAAACCAACACACATTAATATGTAGATTATAAGGTGCCACTAGGCCAGAGGGCCACATCTATAAGGTGTAAATTACATATTTAGAAATGTATTACATATGTGTGGGTTAGAAAGTATATGTGGGGGCTGTATATATCTATCTATCTATATATAGATAGATAGATAGATAGATAGATAGATAGATAGATAGATAGATATGTGTATATATATATATATATATATATCTAGATATAACTTGGTCTGGTCCTGGCTGCAGACAAGGTGATGTCACCTCTGTAAACAGATGTTATCTCTCTCCCTCCCATGTCTAGTACACACCTTGAACACACCACAGTCGCTGAGCGTTTGAATGTAGCAAGGATAATGCTTTCCACACAGAGAGATGCTAGTCCAGCCTGATAGAAACTCTCTTCTTAATCTCGGAAGGCCTCAGAGGAAGGATAAAAACCATCCAGCAATCACCGGGTTAAATTTTCACAGCAGCAGCGAATATTTATAATCCGTGCTGCGACATAATTACCCGAAATCCCTCCATCACATGGGACCTGCCGCACCTGCACAGCCCTATGTACACAGCATAGTACATGACCCAAATATACAAAAAAGGCCAAAATAACTACAGCATGGAGAGCAGGAAAATACACCGACTGCTAAACAGACACTGTGTGACACCGAACCTTACCCCAAAAACAAATTAGACTCAGATGACATTTTTGTATGTTTTTTCTTTATTTTTGTATTCTAAAATAGTGACTAATGTATTTTTTTTTTTCACCTATGCCAGGATCAAGTGGGCAGTGTACCGAACATGTCATTACACTAGGGGCCTAGCATCAATTTTATATCTCCTAGACTTTATATAGAGATCTTTATATATATCTAGACATATCTAGATATATCTAGATATATATCTAGATAGTAAATATATAATATATATTTTTTTTTCTATGTATATGTGATAAATAATCTTTTTTTTCTGCACCTCGTATTTCCTCATATTCTCTGCTTCTATATAGTCCAGTCTATTTTTTATCAAGTCACTACTTGTAATAAAAGCAGTACAGATGGAACTATGGGGTTACATCATGCTATTTTGTGCACATATAAACGGTGTCATTATCTAAAGTATAGTGTAGTATACAAAGCATATACATTTATTTGTTTGTGTTTGTATTTATTTGTATTTTCTGTCAATTACTATTTATACATTAAGACCAGCACAGATGGAATTAAGGGGTTAAATCATATTATATTTGTGCACATATAAATGATATCAGTATGGTGTAATATATAAACTGTATACATTCGTGATCTCTCCCCTCATTCATCTATAGACTGGTAGGAGTGTTTACTGACATTAGGACCAGCACATATAGAATTATGGGGTTAAATCATTGTATTTGTGTGCACATATACATAATATCAGTATGGTGTAATATATAAAGTGTATACATACGTGATCTCACACCTATAGACTATAGACTGGAAGATGTAGACGTATATTTCATTACTCACATTAGAACCAGCACATATAGAATTGGGGTTTAATTAAATATATTTTGGTACTCAGCATAGTGTAATATGTGCAGTATATAATTTGATAGATGTGATCTCACACCTCATTCATCTATAGGCTGGAAGATGTGTCTTTTTTAATTCATTACTCACATTTGGACCAGTACAGGTTGAATTATAAATATAAATAATATCAGTATGGTGTAATATATAAAGTGTATACATTCGTGATCTCACACCTCATTCATCCATAGACTGGAAGATGTAGACATATATTTCATTACTCACATTAGGACCAGCACATATAGAATTATGGGGTTAAATAATTGTATTTTTGTATATATATAAATAATACCAGTATGGTGTAATACAAAGTGTATACATTCGTGATCTCACACCTCATTCATCTATAGACTGGAAGATGTGTTTTGTGTCCGTTCATTACTCACATTAGGACCAGCACATATAGAATTGGGGTTTAATTTAATATATTTTGGTACTCAGTATAGTGTAATATATAAAGTATATAATTTGTTTTATGTCATCTCACACCTCATTCATCTATAGGCTGGAAGATGTAGATATATATTTAATTACTCACATTAGGACCAGCACATATAGAATTATGGGGTTAAATAATGCTATTTTGGTACTCAGTATAGTGTAATATATAAAGTATGTAATTTGTTATACGTGATCTCACACCTCATTCATCTATAGACTGGAAGATGTAGACATATACTTTATTACTCACATTAGGACCAGCACATATAGAATTATGGGGTTAAATAATTGTATTTTTGCGCACAAATAAATAATATCAGTATGGTGTAATATATATAATGTGTATACATTCGTGACCTCACACCTCGTTCTTCTATAGACTGGTAGATATATTTTGTATGAAGTCATTGTTGTCATATTGGATGCGGCAGGGAATACAGAATTGAATGGATTTGGTTGTAATTCATGTGTAGATTGTATGATTTAGTCCCAGTCCTGTAACAGGGACTGGCACCCTATTATGTGCAGTGCCCATGACATAACGATCTGTGTCTCCCCCCCCCCTCCAGGTGATGCGGTTGGGATGCCCGGCCATTGCCAGCCTCCTTCTCGGCAGAGGTGCTGACCCCAATCTGCAGGACAGCTGTGGCTTCTCAGTCCTCCACGACACGGCCAGAGCCGGCTTCTGCGACACCATGAGGATCCTGCTGGACTTCCATGCTGATGTCAACCTGCAGGACAACGATGGCAACATAGCCTTGCACCTGGCAGCCAAGGAAGGCCACCTGCACATGGTCCAGTTCCTGGTCCTGCACACGGACAGCAGGGTAGGCCACAGGAACAGGGACGGGGACACCGCCTGTGACCTGGCCAGGATGTACAGCAGGGAGCCCCTGGTACTGTGGCTGCAGGGCAATGCCAGGGGCCAGCAGTAGTGGCCTTTTCTCCCGGACTGCAGAGACTGTACAGATTAAAGCTCCTTCTGTACCATCTGCTTTCCATAAGGACTAAGA